CCTTTCTCTGGGCATGGGGAGACCTAGTAATGGGACGGAGGAGATGAAAACATGGACATTTCCCCCTTACATCCCTTAGAAAGCAGAAAGGGAACTTCTGGGCCATTTAGGAAGCAGGGGTGGGGGTGGGGGAAATAACTGTTCAAGTTCCACAGGTCAGAAAGGCCGACAATAACTACTCAGTCATGCTGTCCTGATTTTCTCAGTATGAGTAAAATCCAGGAGGGCCAAATTTGCTGATGGCTGAGGGAAATTATCTTGACTGGTAGCCTCCCAATACCTCAGGTTCATCCAGGGAACTGCACAAGGGTCAACACCTTGATTCTTATACCCACCCTGTAAGGTAGGGATATTAATTAATCACAAACACACAAGCTCCTGGTAGATGTTCAAGATGAGGCATGGTTTTAAGTACCAAGAAGACTTTTACTCCAGAAAGAACTAAACCATTATAAAAAGAGTAACTTCTTTCCCCCTCTCCTCATACAGCTGAAACCGTTCTCCTAATTAACTCAGTACCAAGGGGTGAGCTCATCCTGGCCTTGGCTGTCTCTTTCCCATTGAGACGAGCACCTGATGTTAACTGCCTTCAAATCACCAGTGGGCATTTCTTCCCACCTTTTGGTCAGCTCATCCTAGGCATGAACGACAAAGCCTGATTTTCTAGATGAACAACAAGAGTTCATGATCCCTCATTTTTCCAGTCTTTTGACAATAACATTTTGAGGGGGTTGGTGGGACTCCAGGAGTTCTGGAGGTTGCATGTGACCCATAATTTCCTCCTGTGGTATAGCACAGTTACATTTCAAGACCAATGTAATGTAAGATAGCTACAAAGTTCCTTTTTGTTGGGGGCAAGATATGTTTTCAAAAAAAAAGCATTCTTCAGTTTTGAATTTTGTATTTCTGTAAATATTTTCAAAAACAGTATCAAAACTGGCCACCAGAGGAAACTGGAGAGGACACCTCTGTATTTTTCTGGCCTGCCACTTCTGGTAACACAGTGTGTTAATAGCATGCAAAGCAACAAAATTACTTCTATGAACAAAGCAAAGATATGAACAAGGATAACCAAACTGGCATGAAGTAATGAGCAACACAATAAGTTCCTTTAAAAAAAAAAACCAATGTCCCAACTTTGTTGTTGAATCAGACCAAAGGTCTGTCTAGTCCAGCATAATATGTTATGTGTAAGTACAAATTGTCCTCTCTTTTCTGTTCCCCAGCAACTGATACAGAGAAGCATACTGCCTCTGCTGCTGAAGGCAGTATGTATCTGTGGTAACTGGTAGCTATTGATAGCCCTTTCCTTCATGAAGTTGTCAAATCCTCTTTTAAAACTGTCTAGGTTGGTGGTCCTTCTTAGAACATAAAATTCCACAGTAATTACATTATGCAGTGTGTGAAGGGGAGATAATGGCAGCATTTGGGTGCCTTATGCCAGGAATCATGGCTTAATAGACCATAGTGTTAAAAAGCAGCATTCTGAGGCACACTGCCTTTTCCTCTTCCTTTTGTCTAATTGGTCAACTAACTGGGAAGAAAATAGCTTTGTGTTATGTCCACATGCAGGATTGTAGTCAGGGCTCCCCAAATGAACCATGATTGGAAGTTTGCTTAAACAGTTTGCTTATTGAACTGCGGATTTCAACTTATTGTGACGTTCCTTGCAGAACAACGCTCAATGTATGATCTGCTTCTGCTGGTATTTATTAGAAAGTAAAGGCTTCTCTGATAGTATAGATGTCCACCTTGGATTTTCAGCACCATAAAAGTAGATTATTTTGAAGTCTCTGTGTGTTTTGATATGGGAGCCTATTTCCTTTGTTGTGCATCCCTTTGATTTCAGATTTCTAACCCACCTTTCAGTCTATTTCATTTCTGCAGCTTCGATGGCCATGTTTCTAAATCCTCCAAATCATTCTTCTGTGTATCAGACTCCATTATTAAAAGAAATTATGACCACATTGGGCTGTTGATTTACCCAGTGCTTTGTAAACACTGGTGATAGGTAACCACGAGTGCCTTGAAGATAGTAATGAGAAAGTGACAAAGAAAAGGCTGTGGCATAGTGGATTCCATCAGACCTTGGAAATACATATTATACTACAACTCCCAGAGCCCTCATGGCCAATTTATATTATGTTATACGATCTGTATCAAACAGCAGGAGTGATCAAGGGGAGGAAGGGGGGAAAATGGCAGTCAGTCAGATAAGATTACTTGATATGATGGTTGTTGTAAGGTTTGTTTGTTTGTTTGTTTGTTTGGCTGTTTAGCCGTGTGCTGGATGGTCGTGTTCTCCAGAACATGGCCAAACAGCCTGAAAAATCTACAACAACCATCGGATCCCGGCCATGAAAGCCTTCAAAAATACATTACTTGATTGCATTTGAAATAAGGCTACAGTGATTTTTCCATCTCACAGGGCTGCACAGATGGGGTAATTATTTCTCTCATCCTGAATATGGTTAAAGATACAAATCTTGCTCACTGTTGAATCATAAAGCCCTAAGTGTTTGGTAGTATTACTTACTACTACTGTGGTGCAAAATGTTTTATAATGTACTAATCAGAGTTTTGTGAAATCCTTTTTGAGTTTTAAAGTCATATGCTTAGTTTTAAAACCATAGGTGTAAAAACGAGAGTGCGATGAAGAAGACAAGGATAAATTTAAGGAGAAAATGCCGATTACATACATATTATCTTTTTTTTTTCTTGGTTTATTCTAGTCTGTTTCTTAACCTCTTTGACATAAACCTATAGCATCAGACAGGTGACACCTAGTTAATGATATGATATGAAGGCAAATCATGTAATAAGTAGGCATGGAACTTTTAGGTTGTGCAAATGAAAAACAATGCAGAAGAGGCTATTTCTCATGGATCATTTGGTTTAACAAATTAGAGGAACCTGATAAATTCGAACTTTATTAGGATTTCCTCATTTGGATTACCCATATATATATATAATTTATAATTTATATATATATATATAAATTCATATATATGAATAATCTGATTCATTTCTGAGGCCAGCCAGCATTCTCTCTTCCACCTCAAAGATTATTCATGTGAAAAGAATTTATTGATTTGGGTGGCACCAGGCATTGCAGTTAACTTGCCATGATCACTGGTGATGATGATGAATTGATGGTTATAATGGTTGTAATGATGACGAAGGACTAGTTTCCCTTTATTCACCACTGATTAGGCCTCATCTTAAGCATTGCACCCAGTTCTGGACACCACATTTTAAGAAGGATGCTGACAAACATGAACAATTTTAAAAAAGTGCAGCAAGGCTGATCAGGGGGCTGGAAACAGAAGGATCAGTACCCAAATGCCCTGAAAAGTGAAAGAGGCATCCCCTCCAAAATGAATGAAACCCCAAAGGGTTTTTTTCCATGCAAAGCCCTAGTAATAACTCTGAGCCAAAATAGTGCAGTTCCTCTACTGACCTGTCTTTCCCACCCAAACCTGTGTTTCCTGAACTACGATGACCAATTTTCCAGCAGCTGTGTGTACATGTGAGAAAATCTTGGGTTTCAGCTTGAGAAAGAAATTAAAAATTATAGGTTGGTGCCAATGAGCCTTCTCAGAAAGTATCACTTTGACAGTATTTGCAATTTCAGTACTTCCAGGACATGATTCCCTGGAGGACCATGGAAAACTAGAGAGAAATCACCTTTTAAGAAGGTTGTTTTCCTTGAGTGTTGAGGAATGCCTTCACTTGCCTTTGGATGTCATCTAGGGTTCTGTACACCGTAGGAAATATGGTAGCCATGAAGATCTACATTATATAAACCATATTATCATAATCATAATATGGTCACACTTTTCACCCAACTGTATACAGGGAGGGCGACCAGAGTAGCGTGGAAAGACCTGAGAGGGCACTTGGCTCAGAAGCCACTCAAATCTGCCAGCAGCCGCTGAACAGGATCCAAACAAAGGGGATTTACTCCCAGCATTTTGGCCTAAAACATTTAATTCTCATTACAATCAGCGTTGTTGGAGGGTTTTTGACATTTGCAAATGTAACAGAAAAGGTAATGATAGAATTCAAGAACAAAAAACCAGGAAAAGCCAGAGATCAAACTCTATAGCTATGGGAACAAGCACGTTCTTAGCAAAACCAAGCAGTAGCAGGAGTTTTCTTAAGTATGAAATAGGAAATGTTACGATTTTGGGGGGAAAAGGGAGGTGTATGTGCGCCTTAACCAAACCAAGTACAGTTTCCTATGATGTATTATTTTTTCTTTAATGTAGTCATGCCAGCATTGTAAGGGAATCATTAGAGGAGGAAAATTCTTTAGGCCACATTGTATGCGTGTGTGATAGTAAGAGGTTTCTTGACTCCTTTGCATAGCAATCAGTGTTCTGGATCGAAGCACAGCATTCCTTTGAAGCCTGCTGTCTCAGATACAAAAGACAGCTGCAATTGTGTCTTTCCAACACTAAGCTGCTTTTAGCGCTAAGTACAAGTGTCTGTAAGGTCCGCTCTCAGACAAATTTGTTTCAGACACAGTGCAGTGAGTTCCAAGCATACAGCTCACATTGAAATCATCTTTAGGCAGTGATTTTGTAGAGATTCAGGGAGCATAGCTTGGATTCCCCCCCCCCCACTGCATACAACTCCCAGAATTTCCCAGCCAAGTGTGTAACCTGGCAACTTGTTTCAAGGGGGATGGTGGTAAATCTGGTTTGGATTTTAATCGGAATTTTACTGAAGCTGTCCAAGCTGCTGATTTAGTTTTGGAGATAGGCTTTGGCACCTGGGATAAGTCATGTTACACTCTGGCTAAAACCCAGAGTTGATTCATCACCCCATTGATACTGGAGTCACCAACCTTCTCCCAAAAAGTATGGTGGTGGATGCTACATTAGGACAACATTGGCTGTGATTTTGTTGAGAGAGTCTTGGAGAGGGGTATGAATCTTATTTCTTTTTTTGCATCTAGAGCTGGTCTCAGTAAGGTATGACTTCCTTATCCACAGGTCACCATCAAGTAAAACAAGGGACTTGTGAAGTGGTTGCAGTGCATCGGTGCTGCAACAAGAACAGGATCGAGGAACGGTCACAGACTGTCAAGTGCTCATGCTTCCCAGGGCAGGTGGCTGGCACGACGAGAGCGCAGCCCTCCTGTGTCGAAGGTAAGCGGCTTCTGCTTCATTTGTCATGCTGGCTTCATAATTATAGAAATTGCCTCGTCCCCTTGACAGTTCAAATTCCTGCTCACTGAAAAAAAAGCATAATCCTCTCTTTTGTTAATTTGGACACATTTCTCTTTGTTAATGATAATGACTATGTGCCTAAATCATGCTGCAATTAATCTCCTTAATTTATGTACTAGGCCATTCCATGTCTATGCCAAAAATGCTTTACTGGTTTTGCATTTCTTGAATTTTCTTTGCAACAACAGCAACAAAAAAGAGAGAGAGCTCTCACTCAGAGAGAGCTGAATCTGCTTTGTTTGTGCAGAATTTTCCTTGGTCCTTGAAGTGAGGAGCAACTGACAATATGGAGGGCAGCTTCAGCCAAGTACAGAATAGTGAATTATTAGAGTTAATTCTCAGTCAACTCAATTATGTGGAGAGTGGAACTATCTGTTCCCTTGCACTGGACTATTTCTTTTTCTTAAAAATCAGAATTTGTTGTTTATTTATTTTTCCTTGCCAGAGTACCAGAACACATTTGACATCTCATCTTGTAGAAAAGACGATGAAAAGGGTCCCAACTTTTACAGTGTGGAAACTACAAAGGTGTATAGCAGGGTAGTGAGAAAGGGGAGACTGTGGCAAGCTTTAGGTCATTGCGGAAATAATAACTGTAACTAAGCATGGAAGGAACATTGGCAAACCTTGGGCTCATGTGCGATCTCATCTCTTCTCCATCCATCCATCCATCCATCCATCCATCCATCCATCCATCCATCCATCCATCCATCCATCCATCCATCCATCCATCCATCCATCCATCCAATTCTGTTTTCATTTTCTTTTATTTATACAATGCCTTTCTCCAAAATGAAATCAAGGGTAGTTTTCTGCATGGCTACAAGCAAGGTATTGGCAGAATTTCAAATGACTTTTAACTTCCTTAACCACACTTAAGGAACAAACAATTATTTCAGGACAAGCTGGGATTTATTTATTTATTTAAAACATCTTCTTTTTTGCCCCGCCTTTCTCTTTGAAAAGAACCCAAGGCGGTTTACAGCAGTGAAAGATAACGCTGATTAACAACATTAAAAGACAATATTTAAAGCTAAGAACAATAAGTAAGAAGCATCTTACATAATTAAAAGGCAATTTTAAAACTAAGAACAATAGATATGCAGTTAAAAAAACCCAGTGCCACTCTGGAAAACACAAAAATGGCAAACACTAGTAGTACTAAAAATCCAGTCAAAGCAGTAATGCATAGCAGTCTATCTAAAAATCACACTGAGGTAGTTGGTTACTGAGGGAAAGTGTGCCTGAAAAGAAAGATCTTTGTATGCTTGCAGAAGTACAGTAAATATGCAATTAGTCTGGCTTCCTTCAGGAGGGATTTCTGGAGTCTTGGCATATCAACAGAGAAGACCCTTTCCTGTGTCCTGTGAAAGGGTTATAAAACTACTGCTTAAATCTGTATCAAACCGCTACATACAGTTCTTCTTTGAAACAGAGTGTTCTGCCCCTGCCCTTTATTTTAAGCAAATAACTGTTCGTTGTTTTTTACCTGGAAGCATTTTCTAAAAAAACAAACAAGGTAGAGAGGGACTGTTATTCCTGGTGGGTTCTTAGGAGTAAATTGGCGCCTGGGACCCACCAAAGCTGCTCACCAACTATTCAAATTAATGAGCATCTCCCTGGTTGTGAATGTAATAAGGTATCTTCAGTATTAAAAATTGAAAACAAAAGCTTCTCACTATCTTCTTATGGCTACGCTATGTGACAGAGGTTCACTCCCACAGCATTGAATTATGTTTTTAGTATTACATGGAAAATGGGCATTTCCGTCTCAGTACAGGTGGAATGGGAAAAGTGGCATAAATGGGCCCAAAATCAGCAAAGGATCACAAGAGCATTTATAAATTTACAATGCTGGTACCACAACATTGCTTTCTGGTAAATCTTTTAAAAAATGCAGAAAGCTTAACAGGACAGACAAAATTTCAAATGGACAAGTAAATGTATAAAGAGTTTTGTGCCACCTCGAAGACTAAAGCTTCCATGGACTACAATCCACTTTATTAGATGAAAGCTTATGTTGTAACTGTTTCTGAAAGTTTTGTTGTTTGTCCCAAAAAGTAAGTGGTAAGGGCTGAGAACTTGAAATTTTGCAACCGTAGTGCTGTTCCCTATCTTAAATAACTGAGTTGGTTATGCCATGAGCCTCGTGATAATTAACTTTCAGTAGTAGCTGATTATAGGCATCTGATGAACTCCTGTGTTATGTTTGTCAGATAAACTTCAACTACAAGATCCTTTCCCTCTCGCAACAGATTGAGTAGTCCTATAAATATTTTCAGAAGCATGTTTATCCTGAAAGATTGTGAAAGAAACAAATAAACTGGCACTAATGCTATTGACTTCCTAACTTAAATATGCCTGGTATTTATTAAATATCTGAACTGATTGTGTTTTCAGATTGGCTCCCCATGAGTCTCAACTAAATTCAATGATCATTAGTGTTAGCAGCACCTGATCATCAACATTTTGTCGTCTTTTCTGCTACTTGTATCGTATAGACTGCAGTGATGAGGTCCATTTTCACTGTCCCCAAACTAAGTAGCCAATCTATTGTCCACAAGTGTCTTCTAAACCTTCTTCCATTTATTCGGTCATGTAACAATGCATATTCTCATTAGGGATGGGACTTCCATATTTCTTGTACTTCAGTTCCTAGAATTCACCAGAGATTTCCCCAGCCACTGCTGTCTTTAGAAATCTGGGGATACTGATTTCACAACAATTTCACAATTACATTCATCCGATGATTATAATCTGAACAACAGTATTTTCATCCTATATTGTTTGTAAAATTTGTTTTCATAGTGTAGTGTGTTTGTATAAATAATCCCCCTGGCCAGAATTCTGAAGACTTTAGGCAAGAAATTGAAGTCTTCACAGTAGTTTTGAGTTACTCACAGAAGGGGAATGAAGGCTCTGTCAGTTACTTTGTTCTGTAAAAATGGTAGAAGAAATAGGTAGCTGTAGGACCCAGAAGGGATTAGGGGGCTGTTAATTTTTTTGAAATGTAGGAGCCGAAAGGGATTAGGAGGCTGGTTATGGGCAGAAAGACTACCGGACCTCTAATCCCTTGCAGTTCCTGTTGAGAGCCATTTCAACCCATTTCTTTTTTATTCCTCACTACAAAACAACAGTGAACCTTCATGCCCTACTTGGGAGAAACTGAAAACTCCAGTGAAGACTGATTTCTTAGCTAGAGCCTCAAGAATTCTAACCAGGGGAATTCTAGGTGAATTCTGGGACTGAAATACAAAAGTCAAATGCTTAATTGTCATAAGTGTTTTAAACAATACTCTCTGCAAACAAATCTTACAAACAATGTAGAATGACAATACTTTTGTTCAAATTATAATCATAGGATGAGTGCAGTTGTAAAATTGTTGTAAAACAGTAAAGACAGTACTGGGTCAAGTACTGAAGTAAATGAATACCTAGACAGATGGAATAAAAAGACCACTATGAAAACAGAAACAATGTTGGGGAGAAAGAGACAGAGCACTGAGGAATGGAAATGGATTTCTAACTTGGACTATTGCCAAATAAAACTTGTCTTTGAGTTTCTGCCCGACTCTATATTGACTTTGATACAACAAACTAACATGGCTACCCTTCATCTGTATACCCAAGTGTAGTGACAGAAGCAGTAGAACAAAAGCATCTGATCAAGTCAAATACTGAAGTTAGACTAGAAAAAAGGCTGAATCAGGGTTACAATGGTAGTGGTGTTATTTGTGTTAGGACTGCTACTAATCTTTTTGCTTCCAAGTAATGCAGGCAAAAATTATGTGATATATTTATTAATTGTACTGTGGTGCTTCTAATACAAACAATGTAATAAGAAGGTTGTGATTGCTCGCAATAACTAAAGCTGTAGTTGATAATTCTGCCACTATAACTCTTATCAGAATTTCTACGCAATACATGATCTTTTTCAGGAAATTGCTCAGTGTTTCATTTCTCCTCCCTGTTTCCCCCCAGCAACTACAGAGTGGCAAATTTCCAGTGGTTTCATGTCAGCGAATGGCACGTCTAAATCTTAATTAGCGTTTCTGTCAACAACAGTGGAAAGAATCTTAAGACATAAAATGTGGTGAGAAGCAAATAGAATAGAAGCAATATTTTAATAGCTTGCTGCTAATTAATATTGACAGAGAAATTGTGCTTGCTAATCCATATGGAAGGTACTTATCTTCTATTTTCATTGCATTCCACACAAAATCATGACCTTTAAAAGTGAAATAACTAAGAGCCCCAGGTTTTCCTAAACTTCCCCAGATGTTTTAATTGAGGACGCTACTCATAAATAACTGAAATGTTGTGAAGTAGAATTTCCCTGCTACTGCAGAAGCATAATCCTTACACATGCACACACACACACACACAGAGAGAGAGAGAGAGAGAGAGAGAGAGAGAGAGAGAGTTTTGTGTAGCAGTTTTCAAAGAAATAGCCCTGTTAGTCAGCTTCAGCATATGAAAAGGGCAGGTAAAGTGTGGTAGTTTGTACATACAACTTTTATAACCAACGTATTTAATTTATTCGCAAAGGCTTTCACGGCCGGGATCTAATGGTTTTTGTGGGTTTTTTGGGCTCTTTGGCCGTGTTCTGAAGGTTGTTCTTCCTTCAGAACACGGTTATTCTTCCTTCAGAACAAGGAAGAATAACCTTCAGAACACGGCCAAAGAGCCTGAAAAACCTACAACAACCAGTATTTAATTTATATTGGAGGCAGTAGATTAGAATCCATGAAAGGTAATGCTAATATAAATCTGTTAAACCAGAATCCTATTGAAGAAATACAGAATAAAAATGTAATCATGTTAGCATTCCATGCCTTGCATGCTTTATCTTTCATTCAGTGATGTTGGAAAGTCTTCAGCACCAAGTCCTGTACCTGCCTTGCCAGCAGGAAAAAGGA